AGGTAGGTCACTTGTGGCCTTAAGTTTTTCTCATTCGCCAAAGGGTTAACCACCTTTGGTTAAGTGAAGTCTATGAACACATACGTTTACTCGACATCGCAGACGACGACAATCGTTTCTTGGAGTATTTTGAGTTTTATACTCAATATATAGTCCACGTAACGAAGGGTATCAGAGATGTTGACAATCCATTGGAAATATACAACGAAGAATAATTCACAAGGTAATTTCGTTTTCGGAAAATCACTATCGTAAATAACCTTGTTCCTCTTATCGACGAAGAAGAAATGAAACAAAGAGACACTTACCAATCCCTCCTCTTATGAAGATGTTAATAATAGCATTCAGATTTAATAAATAATAATAGAATGAAGATTTTACACAACTTTATCCTTTCGGGTTCGTTTTATAAGATTGCAAGAGATATGAAATATCTTGTGCCATCTTATGAAAGAAATGAAATGTCTTTATATCTTCCAGATAATTTTATTGTACATACGATAAATGTATATAAATTAAATTACATCTTGTTTGAGATAGCACAGATCTCTATAAAATTAGTCAAGCTACTGTGACGTCATGGATACAGCGAACACTGACACAGAGCTTTCATATAACAAATATATTTATTAACAAAGAAAACACAACAAATATTTACAATTAATTTCCTTCTTACACCCTAGCTCTGATAGACCTACTATCCCCTGATCGCGGGAGCGATCCAAACCCGATTGATGATCGGTTTCGATTGTGGCATTCGCCACTCCTACTTCTGAAGCGCGCACAAAGCCTAGCTTCCGTGACCGGATGTCACACTGGGACACAAAGTCCGTTCTGGCGTTCCAACTGATGGTTTGCCTCGATCGCAGGAGCGATCTTATCCGATTGAGAATCGGCGTGAATCGTGGCACTCAACCACTCCTCACCTCGGAGCACGCACACAGCATTACTCCCCCGTGACCGCAGTCACCCAAGGACCTACAGTCCGCAGGCTTCGTCAACTAGTGACTCGAGCCTCGCGAGCCTGGCTCGCATATGCACCGTCGTGGCGCCAAGTTTTGTGCACATGCACGAGGTTCTCCCACTGTCTCCAGAACCCACCCACTGGCTCTGAGCACTCCGTTATATTGACGAAGCTCACGTGGCCTACTACGCCACGCCACCCCCACCGCTGTTATAACAATTAAAGGTTTCTAAAGACCGGAAGACCCCAAAGCCTTGTGTCTCCCGTTTCCGCGTTCTTGCTTTACGGAAAAACCCTTCTCTCCTTCCTGTGGCGAGGAGTTTCCTCTTACTAATCCTCTACCAAGTGTTCCCAAATAGATGCCACGAGGCACGCTAGCTAATACGTTACACTACACTGTGCCGAATAATTTCTGAAATTTCAGGAACGTTGGTACGTAACATCAATAATTTTATACAGTTTCATCAGAAAGAACGATTTCGCAATTTGAACTGATAAAACGCCAAAATGCTTACTCTTATAAGCTTCGTAAAATTGCGTTTCATGTAAATTCAACAACAAAACACACAAGGCACAACGAAAACACGCGATTACAGTCAACGGCCAATGAATCGACGGAAACCACTCCGCGGTGGACCAGTTGTAAGGTATGCTCAAAAGCAGAGATTATTGTCAATCTCAACTGCAGAAGCAGAAAACAGAGCAGCAGCATCTGCTATTGATGACTTACGTTAGATTCGTCGCATTGGAAGAGAGTTGAAAATACTAAGGTCCAGACAATCCACAAGCTTGAATGTTGATAATAAGTTAGCAATACACATGCTTAAAAATACTCATGAAGGGTAAAAAGCATATTGAGATCAGGAGGAAGTTCATTCAAGAACACTTCGGAAAGCCAGTGAGACTGGAACGCGTCGAGACTTTGCAGCAGCTGGCGCATATACTCACCAAGCCTCTTACGCGCACAATTTTTTGAAAATTTAAGTTATCAAGTAATTGAGGAGTGTTAAATAATAATTATTTGTCATTTGCAAGTTAACTAAAATCAAATCAATTTATTAAGTTGGTATAAGTTCAGTGAAAGTCAGATTATGTTAGTTCATAGTGAAAAGTGTAGTTGGTACTACTGGTATCAATGCAATATATACGAACGCAATCTTTCGTTGTTCTTTGTATCGTTCGTCAAGTTAGCAACATGTCTCCCGTGTCTTACAAAAAGGTAAATTATTTTTGGTATATATAGAGTCGAAATTACTCACACTCTATTGTTAAACTAAATTGTATGTTTTATATTTTCAGCACTTTCTTTTGTAGTTCAAATGCATGACTTTATTGACAAGCTGGTGTATCATTTTCGCCCAATCTCAAAAACCATTCATTTGCAAGAGAGAGTTCCCTAAGTTAGAGATTCCGATTCATAAAAAGTCCTTATTTTGAAATGAATGACAAATGAGTAAACACTCATTCTTATTCGGAAGGTCTCCTGTAGCCTAAGTGTCCTTTCGATAGAGGATTGACCAGCTTTGGTTAAATGAAGTCTACGAAGTTTACGCGACGTGGCAGTCAACGACAATGATTTCTTGGAGTATTTTGAGTTTTACATTCAAAATGTCGTCCGCATAATGAATTCGTATATCAGAGATGTTGATAATCTATTGAAAGTATACAATGAACAATTTAGAAGGTGGTTTCGTTTTCGTAAAATCTCTGTTGTAAATAATCTCCACTGTTAACCTCTCATAACCTCCAAAAAATGTAATAAAGAGTGACTTAACAATCACTCTTCTTATGAAGATGCTAATAATAGCATTACGATTAATAGCATTAACATATAATTAATAACAATAGCATTAAGATTTTACACAATTTCATTTCGCCGTATATCTCTGAAGAAGGCCACAGCAAGATGGCCGAAACGTCAGTACAATTGACCGAGACGCGGCTCATCCCGGATAGCCAAGAATGCACGTATTATAAGATTGCACAAGATATGAACTTTCTTTATATATTCCCGTTAATTTAATTGTGGATATGATAAATGTATATAAATCAAATAACATTTTTTTTAGATTGCGCATATCTCTATAAAGTTAATTAAGCTACATTGTGCCGAATTCTTCTTGTACTTTCAGAAACTCTGGTACGTAATATCAAGAATTTTGTACAATTTTCATCAGATCGGGAGAGTTTGCATTTTGAATCTATAAAAAGTCAAAATGCTTATATATATATATATATATATATATATATATATATATATATATATATATATATATATATATATATATAAGCTTCGTTAAATTGCGTTTAATGTAAATTTGACAAAACACAAGTCACAACGAAAACACTCGAGTCAACGACCAAGGAAACGATGGAAACCACTGTTAGACACTGGGTCAGCAAATGGAAATGCAACGTTGCAACATTTCCGATACCTTAAGGATCACTCATTTCTGCTACCATATGAGATGTTCACGAAATATAAGCCTCCTTAAGTGACCTCTCATTTTGAGTAACTCCTTATTCCTTGAGGAGCGACTATGAATTCGGCCCTTAGTACCATGAGTACTGAGCCCGCGCCCCCGCCACGCCTGGCGCACGACGGCCGGTCGTCCCTGCTCCACAGCCGTGAAGTTATAGACTGACGGAAGTGCATCGTTAACCACAGAGACGCCACTCATGCCACTCATAGTGCCTGTGATGGTACAACCGAGGGCGACCGACCCCCGACGGGAAGTCATCGGATGAGTGTGTGCGGAGAGAAAGTGTATCTATAACTGTGACTCTCACCAGCCAGTGCGAATTTGACTGGCAAACTATAAAAACCTCAGTCTTGTCAATAAGTTTAAATTGTAAGTACTGTACTTAATGCACTGGATGGCCTACAGCTCCACAAAATAACTGTTGCTATTGAATGCTTCTGCATCAATTCTCATCGTGGAAAGAAATGCCTTTCCACCTTGTTGAGCCCCGAAATACTTAACTCCTTCCCCACTCTTTCTCCAACAGTTGAATTAAGAAGCAATGATAAATCCAACTAATGTTGCGAGTGTTCAAAAATTTGATGTCCTGAAATGTTTGCCCCGTGTAATAAAAACTATTTTGCATAGAAAAACGAGCTACAGATTTGATGTACTATTCCTGTCGTCAAAATGACCATTTCCCTCTTCTCGCATCTACAAAAGAAGGGCTGAAGAAAACGTGCGTGGATAGTACCTCTCTTTCGGGCATAGTCCTTTCATGCATTTAGAATATTCTTCAACGGTCGCTATTATTCACGAGTTGGTGTTTACGACACGAGCGACGTTGGAGCGAGTATCGTAATTATTGCGAGTAAATAATAGCCATTATGAGCGAGTAGAAGACTATACTTTCTCAACGACCTTGAAGTATTCAGAATATATTTCGATCAGATTTTGTTTTATTTGAAACTCAGCTATAAGTATTTAGAGTACAGTGAGCTTCTAGTTTTACTTTATTTTGTTTGTGTACAATTTGCTTCCTAACAGTTAGTAAATCTTCCATAAAACTAGAGGTTTTATAGTGTTGAGAAAGTTTTGTGACGTAAGCCAAAAAAGGTTAATTTTCTGTTGAATGATCAATTCGAAATGTAATGAGAAATGCAGGTACATCAATATAGTTAACATAGTTACGTTCACGAAACTATGAAATATTTCACTTGTCTACCGCTGTTCAAAAGAAGTGCGAATTGCAAAGAAAATGCAACTTTGCCGGTGGATTCCGAAAATTTTAAAAATGTGACTGGCCAACAGGTGTAATCGATGTCTCTCTGTAGGGATATTGCACACATGTTCATTTTTCAGTGTAATAATAATTAATGACATTCGTCGATTAAATAAACAGCAGGAATATGAGTTCTATTAAATGGTTGTAGAGAAACAATATTCTTCCATAGTATGTTCATTAAACAAAAAAGAAAAGGATTTTGTATTGTAACATTTTTTCGAAAATCGGAGCTTAGATTAATGGTTGGAGTATTAAATCCAGGATCGGAGTATCCGATATCGTGCTTGACAATGTTTGGCTTCAAAGAGTATATATTTCTATTTTCTTTAATATTTCCACGGTGTAAGAAATATTCTCTTACACAGTAGTATTTGTAAGGCAACGACATTCTATCATGACATGTTGAAAGGTTTGCATTTCTAGCATCGTCTTTGGTACAGTCGGTACGTGGCGATTAATGCAATCTGGTTGTTTGTGAAGAGTGGAAGTAGACCAAAATTGAAGTTTCGTGCTTTATTTGAATAAATAAGCGTGAATGTAGATTGCATGTGGAGTTTAGGGGAATATTGTCGAAATGGGCCTCTGTAAATGCCCTAAACGACGAGTAACTAACCAATTTTGTTTTGAACATCGCGTCAATGTGTGTGAATTTTGTATGGTGACTAATCATCCAAAAGTAAGTTGACAGCGGTGTTTATGGTATTACCGTAATAATTAATGTAAATCCAAACACGCTTTTTCAATGTGGTGAATTGTCATTTCTGTTTAGTGTGTAGTGCAGTCCTATCTTCAATGGCTACAAGATAGTGATTACAATCCAATATGTGAACTATGCACGAAGGAACTAGAAAGTGAAGATTGTGTTCGATTAATTTGCTACCGTAAGTAGTAAACAGTGGAAGTTTTTTCTGATATTATTTCCTCCAAAAGGTTAACGGTTTGTGTTCACTTACAGATGTGTATCATTGGGCTTGTTTGAATAATTTTGCATACAGTTTGCCTCCTACAACTGCACCTGCTGGCTACACTTGCCCCTCATGCAAAGTAGGCCTCTTTCCAGCTTCAAATCTTGTGTCACCAGTTGCTGATGTTTTGAGAGAAAAATTAGCAGGAGTAAATTGGGCTCGAGCTGGACTGGGTTTGCCATTGGTAATTTGACTCTTGTTTCTTATTCTAAAACATTCTGAAAACGAATAATTTGTAATGGAATGTTGATCTTCAATCGTTAAAAACATGATAAATTTAAAAGTTAATTAATTGTAAATTTTAATCCTAGCTGAGTGAAGAGAAACAAAAAGGAGACAATGTTAATACTGTGCATAATGAAAACAACAATGATAACAAGAAAGAAGATGTATTGAATTCGTTTTCTCAACAATCATCTCCTAAAAGATCAGTAGCATCAGATGAAGGATTTGAATCAAACCATGTTCCCAATTCCAAAGTGACAGATATAAGTCCCCATTCTGTTGTGCACGTTGAGGATTCAGTTTCTGCTTTCAGTCGTACTGAAAGTTATCCTGGTGAGTAAAACTATTTTCATTGAGGCCGTGCAAACTAGTTTTGTGTGTTAAAATAAATGTTACGTATTAATATTCAGAATTAGGAAGTGTGATTTTCTCAAATCTGACTCTTGATTTACTTGGTTGCAGGTGCGTAAAAATTTTGAATAAATTCTTGCTTTTCCTTTCGTATTATTATTGTTGTAATTGGGACTGCTATTTGAAATTGAATAAAGTGAAATAAGTGTGGAAGATTTCAGGAAGGTTTTGGTGTAGTCTTAATATGTCATCTGTGTTGATTTTGTGAATGTATATATGTTCAGCAGATTGATGAAATTTGATTCTTTTCATCATTATATTTTTGTAATTCTCTGGCCCTTTTTCTTTCTTTCTTAGAGAGTTTTTAATATTGTTTACTGTTCTTTTCAGGTCGTACTGCAATTTCTACAACAATTTATTAAATATTTGAGTTCCTGGTCATTTATGATTGCATTAGGCTAGAATTGCTTGTTATTTAAGAGAACTTATTTCAAAATAGGAAGATGTAGTCGCTAAAATTATTGATTTATATTGTGCTATTTGTCTCCTTTCAATGTATATAATTATGTTGAATAAGTTTTCTATACATGAAGACCTCACTGAAGAGGTCAGATTTCATGCAGTTTATGGTAAAATGTGAAATGCATTTTTTCCTCCTATTATGTTTCCCCCCATAGTTTATTAAAAAATTCCTCAACTTTATAATTTTTGTCATTTATGCTGTTACATAGGATTTTCAACTCACCTTATTTGTGAATCTGACACCCACTTTTTTATCAACAATTTCTTTGATTTTTGATAATATTCCAATTTAATATATTTTCAAGAACTAGAAATACTAATTACAGCAACAGGTATCTCCTAGATTTGTTTTTCTGAAAGAAAATGTTTAAAGACATTGTTTGTAGTACAATAGAACCTCGCTAATCTGAAACCTACAAATCTGAAATTTCGGATAATTCAAACAAAATTCAGGATGGAGGAAAAATAAACTAAATAAATAAAATGCTTGTTTGCAGTGCAAACAAAAGGAGTTTATCATTACTGTAGAACTGAACAACTAATTATTGAAACATAAGTTGTCGAAATAAAACATTTATTGCACTCGTTACTACAGTGTATGAAACATGTTTATGTAGCAGTAATTTTTACTTAGAGGAACTTGCAAAATTAGTTATCTTCTTTTTCCATAAGGAACTGAATCTGCTTGATGGTGCAAGGTAATGATGCGATCGTTATGCTACGTTACCCTTTTCTTACCTCACACGCTATGTTGCATTATTTGGTAATCATGTGAATTTTTAAATGATGTATATGTAAGGTACTTTTTTTTGGATAATCCGAACAGACCACACCCTTAATTAGATTGGATTACCAGGGTTCTACTTTATATTGAATCTGGTGAATATCGATCTGAGGATAATTTCAATTATTGCCAGTTTTAGTATTTGTGATTCTTCTAAAAATCCTTCCAAGCAGATGTTTTATGTTTATCAATTAGATAATATTTCCTCTGAGGTAACAGTTAAAAGAAATATATTATATTTATTACCTAAGTAAAAAAAAAATTATTACCTAAAATTTCATTCTAAACATTATTTTTTCATAACACTTGAACGACCTTCTCCAGCACATCTATGTCTCTTTTGATTTAGCACGAGTTGAAGTTATTTAGTTCATTGTATCTGAGATCTGAAATTGCAGTGTCAAACTATTTAGTGCAGTTCAGGACCCTTTAGAACCTCTCAGTGATCTCCATATTTAGTTCGATAAGCAATAATGAATGGTCTTCTGAAATGTGTAGATGAAATAGATAGCTTTGCCCCTGTGATTTTTTGCTCAATACACATTCATTACATGTTGCAGCCTCTCATAGCCAGGTTGAATATGGACTAATACCGTTTTACTTCTTTTGCCAGCTGATTTCTATTCAAATGGTCTATTAAATTTCAGCATCTTCATCTGTAAAAGTTGTTAATTCAGAGTGCAGATGACAATATCTGGCACTTCTTGGTTGTTTTCCAATCCAATTATTATTCTTGCTAAGGATAGTCTGATGTAACTTCTGCAAATAAATGATATGATTGAAAATTAAATGCATCATAAGGCATAATGTAACCATATGGTCAGGCAAGATTGAAATGGTACATACAGTCTTAGCAAATTTTGCACCCAATATATTTTATTATTGAACCATTCTTGAAGACGTGTAATTAACTAAATGAGCAATCGAAAAACCCTCATGAAATATAATAAGCTTTTCTTGTTCCGAAGTGCTGCTTCATAAATGTACAACTATTATGTGTGTAAGAAACGAAAGTACGTTCAACAATAGACTGGAAGAAACATTGGTTAAGATGCTATTCAAGAGCTTAGAGATTGAGAACATTTTATAATACAGCTTGTATTTTATTTGCAGTAAATATCATTACCAATCATCATCACAGTCATCATATTGTGCTTGTTATCATATAGTCATATGTGCCATTGATGGGTTAAGATGTTAAAAAGTTTTGCTTGTGGAAAAGATGCAAATAAAAGCAGTAAAATGTATTTGCAGTACAGTATATTGGTGAAAAATTTTTATTAATGTTCAGACTAATTTCTTAAGGTATCTATTTTAGGAATTATTAATTATGAAAATGTTTTATGAATAAAACTGAACTGTCATATACATTTTTGAATGGAAGATGCAAATTTTGTTCCCATTCAGAATTTGTGGCTGATTTACAAATTTTAAGCATTTGGTCAAATCACAAGGTATATTGTCTTTCTGGACCCTGGTATGCAAAGGCATAGAGTTGAACAGAAAGATACAATAGAATTTGTGAAATAGTATTTATAGTTCAGAATTGCTAGATGTCACTAATGCACTACTATTGTCAATCTGAATGTTGATCTCTTAGCATGATGTTGGCATTGAAATAGTAATGCAAGGTGGCATCAACTTCACCAACATTATTTTCACCTGAATTGTGAGGGTCTTCCCCATTATCTTTATCATTAATTTAACTCTGACGTGCAGATATTGTGATTTTGAATTGTTTCATTCTGGTTGCAAGTCATTACCCTTGGAAGGCAATGAAACGTTTCCACCCTTGTTTGTGTTAAAATGTACTATTTTCTTTAATATCTAAGAAAAGTAATTGTTCTTTTTGTATTAATATTTATGGCTCGTATAACAACTGTTGATTAATGTTTCATATTTGTTTTGTAACCAGGACAACAACCACACAGAGTATTTGAAGCCCTGGATGATTCTAAAGATATGCTCTTTGATCATGATGAAAATAAATATAAGAGAAGATCAGCTCTTGAATGGTTCTCACGATGGTGGAAGTAAGTTTTCTTGTGAATAAAGAAGTGGCAACAGTGTTTATAATGTATTCACAAGTTGAAGATGTAGGGTCATCATATCATGTATTTATTTCAGAAATGTTTTAAATCTCATTGCAACCATTATCTGTGCCCTTGTAAGTGCACATATAATTGGCGTTCATATATGTACTCTGAAATGTAAAGGAAACCCTTCAGTCTATTTGCATAGAAAAGAGGGAAACCTTATACCTTTCAAGAATAAGCATATCCTTCGATTTTAAACCATTTATTTTACTTTACTTAGATGTAAAACCATTATCTTCTACTTCAAATTGGAAGGATATCCTTCACGAATATTGTGTGTGGTTAGTAGGAGTTTCATCATTGAAGGGAGAGGTGTTTTCCTGTTTTATTGTAGAGGCGGAAGCTGTCCATATGTGAGGGATGGTAAAAGCTATACGCCCAGTTTACCTACAATTAACTACGTTTATAAATCCTGCTTGTGGTGCTGAGCTGAATTGTAACAAACTTTTGAATCAAGAGAGAATTATTATAAAACGGTGATTAGGACGTGTCGTGTGATTCGTGTGAATTGTCGTGTGAAATTACAAAATGTGTGAAAAATAATTTTTACGTGTGTTGTGCTCCTTAACGTTGCAAAAACTTTGGGCAATTCTGACTTCAAACAAATTGAGTAAGTAGTGGAAGGTGAGGAAAAAATAACCAGGAGCTCAACGCTGATAATGAACGTGTTCTTTATTATCAAGGGCAAGAAATAGGAAGAAACGTGAGTTCAATTATGAACAATTTTAATACTTATCTTTGCGTGCTAAAAAATAAACTTTAATAATGTTCTTATAGACTGTAATATGATAAATTACAATGTTTTGTGTGGCCTTCTCATGAAGCATCATCGTCCTTTTTGTGTAATATACTTGTTGCTCTTTACTTATGCGATACTGCAGTACCAACACTAGGTATTGCAGTTCAGTTACTACGAGAGTGCCCACTGGATGAAGGGTGTGCTTTATGGACAAGTTGGCTGCTCTCTCTGCAACACCAATTTGCCTGGCCCCTTCAATTATTCTAGTTGCATAGCTTTCAGCCATTTTCTCTCCCAATCCAACAATTTAATCTGCTTGTGCCCAGTTTTATTTTTGTTTTGTTTTTCTTCAATCTTGATTTCATGTTATTTACTTTTTAACGATGTAATACAAGTTTCTTTTTGATTCCCTGTTTGGTGCCTCAGGTATTAAAATTTTTTCTGGGTATTTCAATGTCACTGATTCCCAAGAAAATGCATTAGTTTTGTCATATCAGCTTTAGTTTTGTAAATATAGAATTATTATCATATACTTCACTTCCACATTGTGTGTGCTAGAATTAGGAGGTATCAATGTCATGTGCACATAAAATATTTACTTTCCTGGTGTTTATTTGTTGTAAAATAATATAAATTTGTTTTTAAAAAAAAGTGTATTAAGTAGATAACTGTAAATCACATCGTTTTTCATAAAAAAGTTTTAAAAATTGTCAAAAACAGCCATTTATTCAACACACAAACCTTTTTTTATATAGATTTTTGGTGTGAGAAATGCCACAGCAGTCATGTTCTAAGAGTAGTCTGTCATATTGTATGTGTCCCATTTTCCCTGGTGTCTCGCTTCCATTGGTGCATAACTTGATGAAATCTTTCACCTTACTCTTCACTTGATCAAGTGAAGGAAAGCAATCCAAATGGCTATGTTGGTAATGAACCTTAATACTCATTGCATTGAAGCTCATGGAAATTGGATTGTTTCTACTAATTGTAAAATGTTTTCTGCTGTATGCTTTCCTGGAAAGTTTTTCGCAACTAGAACGAAAAAAAGACAAGGCACTTGATTCAATTTCGCTCATGAATTTCATGAAATTTGAATCATTTACGAGCTTGCGTATTTGAAAACCATCAAAAATCCCTGCTCGTTTCTCATTGGTGACTCCCGGAAATGTACGTAATACACACTGGAAGCACAAATGATCCTACCTCCAATGACTACAGATTGCTTCATCAAGTTTAACTCATAATGCAAAGGAGAGAGAATAATTTTCTCTTGAGCAACTGAAGGTAAATTGATCACATTGTTTTTAATACTCCCTAACTTTTCTCAAAGGCCACGTTTTTTCTCAGCCAATGCTCACTTTTGGCTCTGCTGTCTCACAGCAATATAAAGCAGAGATAGTTTGTGTAGCCTCTGTGTTGTCCAAGAAGAAAATTCACCGTCTTCAGATCAACACAAATTACCCATTGATATTCATAATACTTCATCTTTCTTTAAACTAAAGAAAGTGTCTTGTGCCGTCTTTCATGCAGAATGTGGCTAATTGGAAACTAGCCTTATTTGTTGCTAGCTAATGTGTCAGACTACAAATTTCAAAATTCTCTAGTTGTTAGTGATAAGTTGCCATTCATCTGACATATATTCTGTACACCCAACTTTTTAAAAATATCTTCTACATCGTTGCAGAACACTGATGTTCCTTCTTTGGTAAAGAATGGCAGCAAATAGTTTCCCTGCTCACAAAATATGTATTACTGTATTTACCTGAATATAAGACAACCCCGTAATTTTGATGAGCCCTCTTGAGCATTTAAAAAATTTTAACTAATTCTTACTATTTAGTCAAAATAAAATTCAAAAATGTCTTATTGATCATAAAATTGCCTTGATGAGAATGTTAACGAGTTACTGCTGAACTATTATTTTCTTGTTCCTTAATACGATCATGGTTTTTGTCACTACCCTCATCATCTGCACGTGTATTAATGTTTCTTTCTTTTTGGTCCTCCTTCCAAGCTGCCACATTTTCTGATGTTTTAGGCCTGCTTTGAAAGTTTTGCGGATTAAATTTTGCGTTCATAGTCTTTTATCAGACACCATCTACAAACATTCCCTTCTGTCCATCCCGCTTTTGTGGATGGCCTCTTGTTTCTGTTCAATACGCAGATTCATATTCCTTGGGTGTCCAAGCGAGATTACGCGCGGCTTCGTCGAACGTGCATAGTGTAACAAACTCTCAGCATTTATTTTCAAGTTTCATTTGATACAATGCCATTCGGTTGGAGATTCTCTTTACCAGCCCATTAAAAAATATTGGTCTGAATTGCCTGATAAATTCACTGTGGATGCCAAGAATACGAACGCGAATATATTTTTGTATCGTTACGCACAATATTTTTATAGTCTTAGCAGTTCTGTTATGTCAACATTTACAAGTTTCGTGATATGGAATGGTAATGTAAAAACTTAAATCTTAACTGACTAGGCGTAATATGCAAATGTGAAGTCCGTGTATTTATCTACTGAGATATTTTGGCAAAAACCTCGTCTTATATTCAAGCAAATTCTTTTCTATTAAGAGAAACAAGCAATTCAGAGGCTGTTTTGGAGAGATTAAGTTCCCTGACAATGTTGATTAATTACTTTTGATAGAAGCATTCTGGTCTTTATATAGTACTTAAAAAAAATCACAATCACCATTTCCATTTTCATAACCTTCAGATATTGAAGATTTATCTTCAGTGAGGTCTTTTGAGCAATTGAATCCTGAAACAGTTTGAGTGAAACTGGTCTCCTAGCTGAGTCTGTCAGGATGTGTTCATTTCCTATGATTGTTTTGATCTGTACCACTGATGCTGGCGAGACAAAAATAACTATCATTGGTTTTTAGGCTCCCTCCAAACCATCCATGCGCTTAACTTTAGATTCTTGTACCATTTGTCCACTGTCGCAAATGTTTTGTAGATATCTTGCATACCATATGAGCTTACATCTTTATCTCCGAGCTTGTCACCAAAATATCTCAAATATACCATTTATGAACTCAGAAATAGGTTTTCTATTTTCCTTGCAAGAGTACTTGCCACATGTAGCAAAAGATATCTGGACTATTCAAACACTCTTTATTGAGGAAGCTATACATACATGGAACTCATAATAAGAAAGCAAATTGTAAGTTTTCTCATACTTATCTGCAAGAATACTTTAGGTGAAATTAGTGTTCATTAGATGCAACTGCATTCTTATCAGGAGTAATAAATTAGCTCCAAAACAAAAAGCTGCGTAGTATAGCTCGTTGCTATTTTATTGATTGAGAGACAGGCTGGAAAGCATTTGCAAAATGACAAATTTATGGCAGGTTTGGAGATCTTGAGTAATGTGATTGATTGATATTGTGATTAATGAATGTGAAGTTTTATTCCTAAATACATGACTTGAGCACTAAAAAAATATGTGAAAGAAACAGTGCACATTACTTTAGAGGCACGCGGAATTCAAAATTGCCGGTGTGTTATGAAATAATAATGAAATGGACTAAACATACTAATTCAAAATGAACTGTGATTCTGGAAGTAACGAAAATTGTTCTTTTCACTGTATCTTCAAAAGTAGAGTTATGTAGCCAAGCAGTTTGGATTTTTGGAATCAGCTGCCCTGAAATACATTGAAATGAGCTCTAAATTTGGAGACAACCAAAAAAAAGTTTGAATTTTTGTTTGTTTTGTATAATCAATATATATATGGAGAGAAGGATACTTTTACTTCTACTCAGGATACTCTTGCTTCTTTATTTACTTCTACTTTTTCCTCGAAATCAAAACCTTGTACTTCTACTTTTTATTTGCAAAGAGCTTCAGCTTTAAACATATTGGTCACCTTGCAGCTGAAAATTGTTTCTGAAGTAAATATGTATTTTGATGAAACTCTTCAACTTTTGTTGTGAATCATTAAAATCTGGAAGCATAATAATCATTATTAGTTTATCAGTGTGTCTTGTTTTTGCAGATCAATTGGAAGTCCATCATCAAGAGGCCGTCGGAACACTCAACCTCTGTACCGTCGATATTGGATGGCTGCTATTTTGTTTATTGTTGGACTGTTGACCCTAATTATGATATTTTCATGGCTGGGTAGAATTGCAACAGCTAATGATCCCAATCTAGATATCCACCAAAATCCTAATATACATACACAAGAATGAATTTGGAGGTATATTTGTTCATACTTTAAACTATTGCAATATTTAAATGTCTACCTGAACACCACATTGATACTTTTATCTTATGTTTATAAATGATCAGCTCTTCATAAAAATCTGGTTGTTGAGTACTGTGGAGAAACTGATTTGTGGCCTCAATTTCACTTGTTTTACTGCACTTCATATTCAATATATAACAAGGTTTACTTAATAGTGCTTAATCTTAAATATTTTATATACAATTTAATAGTGTCCTGTGGCATAGAAGATGATCCAAGTTCTGTGTTCAAGTTTGTGTGAGCCTTTGTGAACTGGTGATGATTGTAGTTCATCAAAAGATCAAGGCATGGATCAGATTTGGGAAGCGAATATTGACCAGGAGAAAATTGTGGAGTACATTCAGTGTGTATGCTGGTTGAAGGCAAGAATTTGTGTCCAAAACGTATTTAGACAGTGCATTTATAACATGAATTTATGAAACCTTCAATTGTTGATTGCATAATTTCATATCTGAAAAAATAACATTTTTTGGAAAAAATACAAGACCCTTGGTAAGAAATTTCCGAGGGATTCCTTTCTTTTATTAACTCTTTGATTAAAATACTAAAATTTTTATGGTGGAAAGTTATGAAAGTAAAGTTTTGTTGTGATATTTTCAAATCTTTTACAAGAAAAGCTGTTTCATCACACATGCGCCACTCTATTGTTCACAAACTACATTTAGTTAGTAAAAATGGAATTACATTACAGAGTCAATGTTTGAAATATATCATTACACACCATACTTATCAAAATAAACAATTTCTTGGTTTTAAAGGAAAATTCCTTAAATTAAAATGTTTCATGCAAAGACATGCTCCTCAATGATGGTAATGATGATGGTGATACCATCATTGGATGAAACAATATTTCCACTAAACAGAAGTCAATTTGATTGACTTCTGTTGAACGCAAATTTGAGTTGTGTTCTAATCAAATTCTTCATTAAAATGTGTATTGATGATTCCGCTCATTTCCAAGGCTTCTTGAAGTCAAATGGGAGAAGGAAGTCACAAGGAGAGGGAAGGGACAACTGTTATGCATTTTCATAAGTAATGCCTCGCTTTCTGCTCTTTTTCTCCTTCCTTCCTTAGTAGTTTCTTCAGAATATGAGGGTTTTCTTGCCATAACAGCATGTCATGGCCTTTGAATTTGTTATCACCATACAACGTCCTTGAGAATGTCCCAAGCATATTATGACCAATAACTATAACAGATTTTTAATCTCACTACTTATCTACCCTACCTTCAGGATGTCTTCTAAAGGAAGTGGTATCATTAACTATGCTTTGTCCCCTTTTATATTTTACTAGTCAAGAAGTATTTATTTGAATGCCAGCTAATGAGAATATAATTGAATTTAAAATTAATTAATTTTACCTTGTATACATAAAGGGTACCAAAATTACAATGTATACATAATATGCATTGATTAAGTATTGGTGAAATATAATTATAAATATTCAGAATAATTGCTGAAAGTGATTAAAATTTAGGGATAATTAATTATGAAAATGTTTTATTGAAAGACTTGCAAATACATTTTTGAATTGAAGATGCAAATTTTGTTACTATTCAGAATTTCAGTGGCTCATTTACAAATTTTGAGGATTTTGTTGAATAACAAGACATAATGTCTTTCTGGACTCCATGTATGCAAAGACTTATAGTTGAACAGAACAACAGAAGTGGTGAGGTAACATTTCTATTTCAGAATTGTTAGATGTCACTTATATCACTATGTATTCAGTATTTCTATGAGGTATGTTAATAAGTTGAGTGTTCTTGCAGTTTTATATTTTTTATTCAAAATTCATTTATCTCGCTCATCCAGTAAGTTTTATCAAACTGCCAAGATTAGTCTATTAATAATGTGGTATATGAACACAATTCTGATTAATATTTTGTATGAATATTCAGTTACTGAATTGTTGTTGTTATTATTATTATTATTATTATTATTATTATTATTACTATTATTATAGGATGTATTGCACACTTCTTTGTGAATGTTATTACATATTGAATATAAAATAAATAAATTTTTATTGACTAGCTTTTATGGAAAATTGACAATTATGGTAACA